TATATATTTGCTGCTTGCCTGAGGGTCCCCTTGAACCCGTTACTGATCAGTTGTTAGCATTGAGGAACAGCAAGGCGAACTGACAGTAATATCAGTCTTCCTTGCCAGATCGCATTGCTCGACAAAATATTTATAAATTCGTGAACAATATATTCAAAATTGTGCCCTCAGTGGTTCCGTACTCCGCATACACTTAAGCATATGCCCCGTAGAACCAACACAATGTTATATCTCACTTTATGCATTATGGGTCTGACAGTGATCATCAAACGTCTGTTCGCGGCATTCCACCGTGCAGCTCTGACAGAGCTAATTTCCTCCTCGCAAACAAAATTTGTGAACAACCACACGGTAGTAATTTCCTTCTTCCTTCCACCACCCAATTACTTGTACTCGGCACTGTATAATGGTGAATGTATTAAGAATTCCAGAAAATGTCATACTGAGTAGAGCTCCGAGATTAACGGGGTGTATAGCAGACGAGTGTTTGACACATGCCTGAGTTTGATGCAAATAGCAGTTGTCAAGATGAGTCACATTGTTCCCCAAGGGGCTGGTAAATCATGTTTCAGCTGGGAAGTGAAATGAGAGAAGTGACGATTGTTTCATCTCATAACGCGTTTCTACCTCGTTCTATGCAAACAAATCCCCAAAAGTTGACTATTGAACCTATAACCAAATTTGCCGACGTTTATCGACACCAAATCTGTCACGTTTTGGACTGATCATCTTTCAGAGTTCATCCTCATGCATAATCCTTAGCCCATCCGATCAAGCATACACTTGGGTAGCACTAGACCCTAGTTTTATTATCCATCGAGCTCGTCAGTAATGCAGATTCATTGTCCCGTTGGACAGTGAATCCGACCTCCGAACCTATTGCACAGAAGGCATGTGTATTACCAATGGGACAACCACGTTTGAGGATTCTACGTAAGGATAGGCCCGAACGATTTTCAGACAAAATCAATATCCTCTAACACTCTATGACTCAAAAGTAACGATGAATAAACCGCATATTATTTTTACTTCATTATTTATTCAGCCACCATCAACTGCTTCGAAAACTGCGAATCAGCAGTTCATATTGTTCATAGATGCAGTCATCTTATGAAAAACAATTATCTAACTTAAAGGGATATGCACAGAGTACGTAAAAAATCGATAATGCTTCTGCATTTGCTTATTTAGGCTGATCAACACCCGAGGCTCGATTGAAATATATTCGAGAAAAGGCACGTTCCATATGACTCGTACTTGTACAATAATGAAAGAAGTGTTAGGTATAAAGGTAAAAATAGACTAAATCAAACAATATTCTCCATGAATATTATTATAAATTAACGCAGTGGAGACTAGTATGAATAACCAAATGAATATCCACTGTAAAATCCAAAACGGAGCGTACTTTATACATGAAATACTGTTAGTTTGTAACTTAGTTTATTACAAATCAATATGAAACAGTGTGGTTTGAACTAGCGATACTGGAGTCTAACTACATGCGCGAAAAAATGATGAGCACTTTTGTTTATCAGCAGAGTGAACTATCCTTGTCCCAATGTGAGCATAACAAACAAGATCGCGAAGGGAGCTCATTTAGTATCACGAACCGTAATGACAGACGATGACCGACTGCGTCCGACTAGCTGAGGTACCTGCACGGAGAGGCACAAACACAGTTACACGCTATGGTTAACACATGCGTCTGTCAGTAAATACAAACAGACAGTACTAGCAAGGGTGACTGACCCATGAACTTGATATATCGTTTGGAACAAAGGTTTTCGTACACCAATTGCCTGCGCATGTGAGCCCATTTCGCGTGGTTATGTTTTTCTTATGGATGTACGGTTGTGCATATCAGAGTGATTTTCCATATGTCAATACTGGGAAATCAAGTAAACACCGTGTCCTTTCTGCGACTGAGTACAAATCCTTGAAGTTGCAAACATTCGAAAATCATGATGAACACTGGAAATAAGTTTTATGTTCTTTGATTCGAACCCGCAATGAAAGACCTTGCATAAAATTGGTATAACTAGAAATTATCGTCCAAAACTTCCGGCGCCGAGTCGGTATTCACTATGCTCTCACAGTATTGTAGAAAAAAAACATGAAACTCGAGTTTAAAGCTTCATTGCTCATAACTGTTTTCCCCAGATCAAAGGACAATAAGAAACCAGATGATTTTCTCTCAGTGCTTAACTTCGCCGTATGGCGATCCCAAAACGAACGAGGGGAATAAAACACCGGATCGTATTTTGAATGATAGTGTCAACTAATACAACACGCAATATAACCTACCTAGTATGATGTTTGTATCATCGACTTATCAAAAGCGGACCTCAAAAGTCGTTAAGAATAATTTCAAAATGAAGAAATGAACATATTTGCAGTGGAGTCATCGTACTGAAATATTGCTGCTGTCAAATGCCACAGCCATCCATGGTAGTGCCACTTATCCTGTTAATTACTAAAATTGCCCAGTTATCGGTATAAAATACCGATGTTACAATAGGCCGAGACACCTACACCGGGTTTGGTGCACTCGAAATCGTTCTCCCCAGGCAAATAAGTCTCGTAAACACTTAAACGCCCTGTTTCTATTTGTGCCTTAACAGATGTGCAATGGACTTTTTTTATCTCGAAAGATGAAGTAACTAAAACTGCCTACCACTGGTGTTTTACTCCATCTTTTCATATTTAAGAAACCACATTTCCTATTTCACTGGACTCTGGTTCACTCAGAACCACCATTCCATTTACATTCAAAAGAGGAATCTTTTCGTGCTTCACATACAGCTTCAAAAAACAGTTTGTTAGTTATTCTACAAAGCCCTGAACATAGCTGACTTTTGATGATTTTTTTTGACCGCTTAAAATGTTGATAAACAAGAAATTCCATTGTGCGTTTCTCTCACGAACAGTAATCACTTATTAGACAGTAATGCTACGGTTATTCTCGGTATCCCAAATACCATTAATACCTTATTAATATACTGCGTACAGAATTGCTGCAAGTGCTTTATCAGTATTTCTTTCTCTCATGGTGTGTAAATGATACGTTTGCAAGAACATGCCATCCTTTTTTAAATGACTAGGCCATGGCAAACGCCGCTCGTGAAGCATACCGCTATATCTGAAGGATTGCAATAGATGCTCTGAGGTGATTTAATGGAACCAGTTCGATACTTTAAATGACTTCACTCACTAGTCACGGATCATGTTAGAGGGGAAATGTCTTTTTTCGTAGTATCTAATTTTATCGACATATGACTCCCGATTCGAGAACCCTGCGGGACTTCTATGAAAGCAAAGTGTTCCAGACGTCTGGCCAAAGTTCGCAATGTAGGTATTGTTGGATGCCAAAGCCCGTATGGCATATATAAATAACGTGAGTGGTTTAGGCTCATCAGTTGCCGAACACAAGGCTAACCTAATTTTACTTTACTGCGGCTGGCTCCTTGGAAAGGATTAGCCGGCTCCAGACATGATCATGATCTCGAAAGAGGGAGTTTGGTACGAGAGATGTCATTAGAGTTTTTTTTTTATTTTGAGGGTACACCTTTAGCTTTCGCACAACCAAGTGCGAACTGTAAAGCAGTAAGAAGGGTGCAACCGCCGTTCATAACGAACTTTATGTGATGGGTCGTTGTGTCAAGTACGGTGAAAGATTTCTTGTCGGCGAAAGTCGAATATCGATGATAACTCCTTTAAGTCATAAAGAATAACCTGGGATCTTTAAGACAAAGTGCCCTGCTAGCGAGTAGTACCAGTGGCTATACGTAAACCCACACTTCGAAACAGTGACACGCAACTGTTACGCGTGTCGACACTCGGTCAAAAGTGCAAACGTAATACAAACTTCGACCATTATGCTCTCCTAACCTCTGAAATCGTGGATCGACGTTACTGTCGACGTCCGTGGGACCTTCATTTAGGACACCACCAAACGGTTCAAATATAATTGTTGTCACCGGCTTCTACAATATTTCTTTGGAAGAGCAAAGCTGCGGTGAGCGAGAAATTACCTTACTTAAGATATCACGGCTGGCAATGTCCCTTAAATCCCAACTGAAAATTTCTATCACAAACTAAGATACATCATTCAAAGACTGTGAATGGGATGATGTCGCGTATTACCTGCACAGTCGGTGCGAACAAATGAAAGGAACCAGGAATCGCGAAACGATACAACAGTGATGGTTAGATTGATATATAAACATAAAAATCACACTGCTAGAGGTAAAACGCCAGTTGAGTTGATGCTGTGGTGATCTGCTCGGACTCAATTTAATGCAGCATATGTCAGGATCGCGACTGGAGACGGAAAAAACTGGAACAGGAGGAGATATCGAGCCGATTTCCGACGAGTAAGCCAGCCTCATTCGGATTGATAATCTCTTACGAAAAAGAGAACAAAACGGTATTTCACCACGAATGCAAATCAAAACTGCTATGTACAGGATAGTATAAAATCAACTCCAGGAGATTGTACATCTTGTCTGATTGGATTTCTTCGTCTTCTCTAGGTGTCAATACCAACATCCAAATTATCGGTCCATGTATCAGCAATTATGTGCATCGATGGAAGCTGATCCGTCGGTTTGTAACACGTCTTTCACAAGAGGGAAGGTGATTTAATATACGCATCGTACGAGAAAATTACTTTTAGGTCAATCTGCAGAAGGAACTGTTCAATAATGAAGTGTATTGTATGCAAAAAAACGATTGATTCACCTGTCATGACCTACTACAGAATGCTTCATAGCATTTTATTTCGTTATTTTTGCTTTTTGTATGTCCAAATCGAACAAGTTTGAACAAAACACCGTACTACTCACTTTTAAAGCTTTTCATGTAAAGAAGAATGAACAAGTTTATTTGTAGAGCATTGCGAATGGTCTCACTGAACTTACCGAATGACTTCGCAGTACTGTTCAGCGGTCGCCTCCGTTTCACAATTGNATTGGCCGATGTCGCCGAGCTTGGTCCAGCAGCAGCCAAATGCAATGGTGTACAACCGGCATGATCTCGATGTGCCTCGTCAAGACCACGAGCCAGAAGTTCTTGTACAATAGGACCGTTTCCAATGGCAGCGGCTAAACTTAGCAGAGATCGACCGGCGGGATCCATGCTATCGACAGCAGCACCCCAGAAAAGGAGCAAGCGAACCACACTAGTATGACCACCGAGAACTGCCAGTGTGAGAGCTGTATTACCGCATCTGAGATGGGTGGTGAAATGGAATTTTGACTGATTACAATCAATAGTTAGGTTCTCACATGGTAGGGCAATTTATTTTGTTTGTAGAGTGGACTGATAAAAAAGTGGATATCTAGAGTCAGTTCTTTCTTTGTGAGAAAATTCCAGTAAACAAAAGACAGAAAAATATGCAGAAAGCAACTGATGCGAAGAGCTAACGTCTGTATAAATGCCCAGAACGTTCATAAATTCCTTAAATTGATCAGTCTTGGTGCAACTCTAGCTTTGGAAGTTACTCCATGTGCTATTTCGGGTATGACGTTTAATTGCACACATGGGCGAAAGCAGTGAAGTGACAGTTAGAGTCTCATCTCAATCGTTATGTGATGAAGAGTATAAAGGATGAAAACCATAGTTACAAAATATGTTTACTGTTTGGTGATTGAAATTCGCATTTTCAAGTCTTGGGAGTTGAAGGGCTAAATTGCCGCACGAGATCTTGATGAGATTGGCGAAGTGCCGAGACGGATAAAAGCAACAGTGAGCGTACGTTTCAGCAGGTTGCTACACATCGACCACCGACTACAGATCAAAGATAAGTCAAAATATATCAGAATATATGACTACCATAAACGAGCTTAATCTGTTTATTCGTTCAACATTTAGCACTAGGATCAACAGTTCTATTCCCCTGTTTGCGTACTATCAAACGTATTTTGCCTTCCTATAGAGGTTGGAGCCCGTCAATCACTTTCCATTCCAAACCATCTCATAAGGCAGTTTGTTTTTGCGTGCGTTTTGCCCGCTGGCTTTATGGGTCCCATGTTATCTTCCCTGGTCTTTTTAACAAGGACCTCAAACTCATTTTCTGATCCCTAAAATTTCTGTCGGTTTGTAGTCTCATAACACGGGAACATCTAGTACAGTATGTGGTGACACATCACCTCAAGTCCAGCAAAACATTCTCCACCAAAATTCTATCTGATATTTCCCATCCTCTTTATTCTGCCATTAGTCAGTGCCTTTCTCATTCATTCACCCGTTCCACTCACAAACTTATAAAGGCACGCACTGAAGCCTACAGGCGGTCTATTATCCTTTATCTCGCCAGATTTCTAACAAACTATGAACCCGTTGCAGGAAATCTGCGCAAAACGCTAAACTAAATCCACCATAAACACCCGGGTATGCCATTGGTTTCTGATTTTGCAGTCCTTTTTCACGACTTTTAATTGCTGTATTGTTTTTTTCACTTTTTGTTGACACACTGTGGTTATGTGGTTGCTTAATNTCTAAATTCACTGAATGTTTAGACATCAATCAACCTTTCCCACATTTCACCACAAATCTCTGTACTTCATATTTCAAAATATTTTGAAAGCATTTTCCTTACTCTCTCAAATTTGAGTTTATCAAAATGATTGATCACAATTTTTATTAACAGTTTAAGCGCAGTGGTTTAGCCGCTGTCACAGGTGTGCTTTGGACACTATGGTCCGACGTTCGAGCCCCGCCACCGCCACCCAACTTTGGTGGTAGGCAGCTTTGCTGTCATCCGGTTCTATACCACGCCCAACCTATCGGGGCCTTATGTGGTTCACTACTCCAAGTCCCAGGNNGAACAGCAGGTCCTCGTGACTATGGGGTTTACCCCGTCTGCTGTTCATCATACGGAAGTGTGTAATAAAAAATACAATACAGTAAAACAGTACTGGTTCTTAGAACAACCTTCAAAAATCAATCATATCGAAAACATTGTGCGCAGCATCTGTTCACGACCTTTCGAAGGGGAATGTTCAAAAAGCCCGTTGCATGATGTTGTTTTTGCGGAAGTATTTGCTTTCCCAACAAATTTATTTTTACGATTCTCCAAATTTCTTGAAAAAGAAAGAAAAGCTGTCAATAGGCAGCTTTTGTCAGTGCGGTTTGGCAGCTCATTCATTCCTTCAATGATCGGTCTGCGAGTTCCATTTCACTTGCTATGCATTCATCTCCGAATCCAGCTTATCCACCACAAATTGATCTTCCGTCGTGTACGTTCATCCGATCGTGTTTGTTCGGTGGTTATCGTATAACAATGTTTTTTGTGTCTAAAACTCATATTTGTAAGTATGCTTCGAATGGATTCTCAGTGATGAGAAGATGATGCAGAAAGGAGTGTTCGACTTGGTTCCCTGTCCTGATTCAAGGAATGCAAACATTTGATTTGAAAACACAGATATAACGGTCACTTGTGAGAGGGTCGGGTTTTTATGGAACTCTGGTCTCAAGTGAAATCTAATCAAGAGATAGAAAGATTAAAAAAATTGGAACCAGACAAATGCGACGTACGCGCGCGCGCCTGATTTTGATGAACCAGTGTGCGCTTCACTGAAAACCGAATCGAAAGTCTTATGTTCATACAATCACGAATAGTCAACTGTTTTGCTTGCTCAAGGAGCAAGCTTCGAACAAGAGGCTTGTGGCTGAAATCTGAACACGAATGAACAACCAAGTACGACAAGTACTTCATAATCCTTTCTTATCAATAAAATTAACATTATATCGAATAAATGCTGTCATACACCATCACGTTTAAAGAAAATTGAAAAGACGAAAGTACGGACATTTAATTCATCGATAGGGATTCGTTTATAGAGAAGAAAAACTCCTATTTATAAGTTTCAAAATAAAATAAAAACTGACGAAGATGATAGTCAAGCAATGATGAAACGAAATCATAGGTTTCTTCATAATTACTTTTAAGCATCTAACAAATGTGCGATGGAAGTGTTTGTGACAAGCAACAAAGAGCACTGGACAGCTGTTTCGTCCTGTTTGGGACTCGCCAGCAGTGTGTACTTTTTGTGTCCCTGTCAGGACTCGAACCACGATTCTTCGGGCTGGGACTTTAAACCATCGACCGTGTAGCCCAAGGGTAAGCGTTTGAAGTCCCAGCCTGAAGAATCGTGGTTCCAGTCCTAACAGGGACACAAAGAGTACGCACTGTTGACGAGTCTCAAACAGGACAAAACAGCTGTCCAATGCTCTTTGTTACCTATCACGACCATTTCCATCGTACAAAAATGCAAACAAACAGTGGGGAATTTACGATCTCCCAAGGAGTGAAACCCACATCGAACATCATCAACAGCGCCTGCTGCCTGTGAAAAACGAATGGGCTAATCCAAACACTCACCATCTAAATCTAAAAAATGTCTTTTGAAAATGAGGTGTGCAAAATGCGTACTTTCATCCGCATTAATGGAATGAAGTAATTGCGTTTCTTTTTGTCCCGTGAACCTAGATATCTCAACCTTTATATAACTCTTTTTCTTCCGTACCTAACTCTTTCCCTTTATCCCTTCTTCCAACTTGTAATGGTCTCTCAAGCAAATTGAATGTCGTTTGCCAAAGGTCGTTGCCAAATAGCACTGTAAGTAATTTACCACGAAATGGATTGCAGATCCTAAAGCCTCTTGAATCACTTAATCTGGGGGCCTTCAACGCGAGGACTCTGATGCAGGTAGGTCAACAAGCTTGTCTGGCGCGTACAATGGAATCTTTAGAAATCGAATCAACAATACTACTACTACAAGCCACTTGAGCGTGCCAGATTTGTTGACAAAGTAAGTTCTTCGCACATCAGGCGACGATAAAGCTTGTTCAGTAGTTCAGCGCGCGGAAGGTATTGTACGCAGTAACAGGGCGGAGTCCTCTCTTGTCGATTGGATCCCCGTCAACAGTCGATTATGTGCAGTACGTCTCCAGGGTTCAATCAGCGTCTGAAAGGAAAGCAACACCAAAGGGTGTTTGTTCATCGTATCAGCATATACACCGACCAATTGCAGTTTCGATGCACAAAAGGACGCCTTCGACGATAACCTCACCAATTTCATTCGGGTCAGTTGAAGCTCCGACATAGTTGTACTTGCAGATGACTTCAACGCGCAAATTGGAAAACTGAGCGCATCAGAAGCTTGCACAGGCGGTAGTTGTGCTCTACTCAGTCAACGAACAGATAGCGGCGATCGACTTCTTCAGTTCTGCGCAGACCATCATCTCTTCCTATCCAGTACCGACTTCCGACACAGCTCTCGACGGACGGCAACGTGGCGCTACAGTTCAACTGGTACGTTAACTCAAATCGACCGCATAGCAGTAAGTTACCGTTGACGTGGCTCAGTGCAAAACTGCAGGTCCTATTGGACCACCTGCGTTGATTCTGACCACGCATTAGTTTTGATGCAGTTGCCGACTGACTGGTCGGCGACAAAACCAGCCAAATTGGATAGCTCATCAACGAGTACCTGTTCCAGCAGTTCATGCACTCTATGAGTCAGAGCTAGAGCGTGAGCTAAATGCGCCTCGATTAGACAACCAATGCATTCCGCAGCGAATGTTGCTTGTGGGTCTGAGCCTCAAACCCATCGGGGGCATTGGATATCTCAGGAGTCGGTCGGCAAGTCCTGACCTGCCAGGATCAAAACAAAGTTAGGTGGCATTTACAAAGTCAGCTCACGAAGAGCCTCAAGAAGGACCGTGAGAACTGGTGGGCAACAATAGTGAAATCGAAGTAGCAGCTGTATCACGGAATAGTCAAAGACTGTCCCGACTGATACGCAATACGGGAGGCTGGCGAACTTCAGTTGGTGAAACAGTCTGCGATAGGAGGGGACGAGCTATTCACAACAGGGATCAACGACTCGATCGTCGGGCAGATTACTGCAGCGAACAGTTCAGCTGGTCTAGTGCTAACCAGGCTGATTCATCTACAGCTGAAGCTCCGTGGGCAGTGTCATGCGATCCTCCGACGGAAGCAGAAGTTCGGTCTGGCATTCAAGCTCTGAAGCGAGGAAAAGCAGCAGGACCAGATGAACTCCTTGCCACTCTTTTCAAGATGGGAGGTGGTAACTTCGTAAGCTGTATTACTACCCTACTGCGCAACATTT